TTCAAAAACATGTACTTTATATTGTACAGGCCTGTGTGCCACAGTGCCTGTGTGGAGGTCAGAGGACAGTTTTCAGTACTCAGTTCTTGCTCTCCACCGCCTGGTTCTGGGATTACACTCAGGTTGACAGGTTTGGTGACAAATGCCTGTACTTTACCTGCGAAGCCACGTTACTGTCACCATGGTTCACTGAATTTGTGTGTGTGTGTCCATGTGTGTGCATGTATATGTGTGTATGCATGTGTACCTCTGTGTAGAGCCCAGAGGTTCCTTAATTTATCCCCACCTTCCTATTGGAAGTTTCTCACTGAACCTAGAATCTACTAATTTGACTAAACTGACTAACCACCAAGCCACCAAAGATCCTCCTGTTTCTGGCTCTCTGGTGTGGGGATTACAGGCACAGGTAACTTGATGTGGGTTGTAGGTCTCTGAACTTAGGTCTTCATGTTCACATGAAAAGCACTTTTCTTATGGCGCCATTTCCCACAGCCACCAAATTCATTCATGTTCATTCTCTCTAAAATTTTTTTAAGAATTAAATTGTTTTTATTTCATGCATGTAGTGCATGAGGGTGTTCAGATCCCCTGGAACTGGAGTTATAGATGGCTGCTGGGAATTGAACCTGGGTTCTCTGGAAGAACAGCTAGTAGTGTTCTCAGTATACTGAGCCATCTTTTCCAGCCTTCTTTTTTTTTTTTTTGAGACATGGTCTCAGCCCAGGTTATCCTTGAACTTCTGGCCTTCCTGTCTCATTTTTTTAAGTGCAGGGATTAGAGTGCTAGGCATATGGATGTTTAGTAACTTACCTAGACTTACATAGTTAATAAGTTACAGAGTTATGCTTCTGCTGCTGCACCTTCTCTTTCTCCTTCTCCTGTCTCAAACTTTCAGTCTTTCTATCTCAGTCCCTTAGTGCTGGTATTACAGATGTTCCTCACTATGCCCAGCTAAGTTAATGTTTTGTTTGTTTGTTTGTTTGTTTTTTGAGACAGAGTTTCTCTGTGTAGCTTTGGCTGTCCTGGAACTCATTCTATAGACCAGGCTGGCCTCCAACGCTCAAGAGATTCACTTGCCTCTACCTCCCGAGTGCTGGGATTAAAGACATGTGTCACCACGCCTGGCTCGCCAATTTTTTTTAAGAAAATAAGTTATAAAACCTTCAGTTGGGAATTATTAATAAATAGATTAAAAATATTTTTGCCATTTAGCAGAGTTTGCGTTTAGCCTACTTATTAAACAGTGCTGGGCCTTCTTACTACTAGGATTTTACTTAATGTGATGATTGCCTGGCAAAAGGTACAGGCTCTTAAATAATTAATACAATAATACATAGCCATTAAAATGATCTCAGCTTCAGGGGATCCAGTGCTTTCTTCTGGCCTCACAGGGCCCCTCACATGCATGACACGCATTCGTACACACAAATTTAAAATGTATACATTTTTTTAAAATTATATTTTTGTTTTTAAAGGTCTATTTTTATTTTATGAGTGTGGGTATATTTCTTGCATGTATATGCACCATGTGCAAGCAGTGTCCAGGAGACCATAAGGGGATTTTGAGATCCCCTAGAACTAGAATTACGGCTGGTTGTGAGTCACCATGTGTGTGCTGGGACTTGTACCCCTTGGCCTCTGCAAGAGCAGGAAGTGCTCTTATTTGGTATATGTGTGTTTGTGTGTGTTATATTTAAAAATGAAATGCTTTCTAGTTAGGTACAAATTCAATTGCTAAAGCTGAGAATCATCTGGATGTGAGTTCGCAACCAGCCTGTTCTACACAGTGAGTTCTAGGATAGCCAGGGTTACATAGAGAAACCTGTCTCGGGGGAAAAAAAAATTAGCTGAGCAAAAGTCACCATTTCTTAGACCTTCTTTACTGAAAAACATTTGTTTTGGTATATTTTGTTAGACAAACAAAACTTAATGTCCAGGCCTGGTAATGTAGATGTCTTGTGAGGCTGAGGCAAGAAGACAGGGCCAACCTGAGCAACTTTATGAGACATTGTCTCAAAATAAAAGTCTGACAGATGGGGTGCTGGAGAGATGGCTCAGAGGTTAAGAGCACTGGCTGCTCTTCCAGACATCCTGAGTTCAATTCCCAGCAACCACATGGTGGTTCACAACCATCTATGAGATCTGGTGCTTGCTTCTGGCCTGCAGCACGCCTGCAAACAAAAGACTGTATAAATAATAAATAAAGATAAATCCTTAAAAAAAAAAAGAAATAGAATATTAAAAAAAAAAGTCTGACAGATAAACAGGGAGTAGTGCTTTCCAGATTCTTGGTCCAATGCTCAGTACAAACAAACACCTAAAAAATGAAAGTAAAGTAAACAGATTAAGAAAGAGGTCAGGGTACATATGGTGGTCCCAGCACTTTGGAGGCAGAGGCAAGAGTAGCTCTGTGAGTCTGAGGTCAGCTTGGTCTACAGAATGAGTTGCCGGACATCCAGGGCAGAGAGACCCTGTCTCAAAAAAACAAAAACAAACAAAAAAAGAAAAGAAAAGAAAAAAAAGAATGAGGTCATCCTAGTCGTATAGTAGAGGTTTTAAATATGATAGGAAATAATAGAACAGGAAAGGTAAGAATATATGCAAATTGGAAGAAACTAAAACAATAGATTAAAACATTTAAATGCTTAAAAGCAGACGAGATTCCATGATGGAAGGCTAGAGATAAATCTATGTGATAGAGGATGTGTATAGTATACATAAGGTCCTGAGATTCTAGTGCTCCCCCACAATAAAAGTGAAATGTGAATCTGATCCATTGTTAAATCTAGAACCTTGTATAAGCATTGTATCACTAAACTGCATCCTCAGCCCCAATTTGACTATTTGTCAGTAAGCCTTTTTTTTTTTTTTTTAAGCCCTATTAGTAAGGTAGTTAGGTCATCAATGCCTAATATCTTACTGGAAAGTAACTGAAAATATCTAACATTTAAAACGTTTTGATGCATATCTTTCATCCCAGCACTTCATAGTCCTATCTCAAAAACAAGACAAAAAGACCCAATCCTATTAAATTCTTGACTGGAGAGATAACAAGGGTTCAGAGCTGGCTGCTCTGACAGGGGACTTGGGCTTGGTTCCCAGAACCCACATGGTGCTTCACAACCATCCTTAATTTCAGTTTCAAAGGGTCTAATGCCCTCTTCCGACTTTAAAGGGTACTAGACATGCCTGTGGTATATGCACATATGCTGGTAAAATACAAAAGAAAATTAGAAAATCTATTAAATTCTTTTTTATTTAATATTTATTGATCTGGGTCATACTTAAGACTGTAAATACCATTTTGAAAATAATGATGTTAAGACATGTCAGAAGTCCTGACCAGTTCATCCCAGCTTCTTGTTAGTTCATTCTCCCAGTGACTTCCTGTCATTTGTTTTGTCGTTATTCTTTTGTTTTTGGAGAAAAAGCTTGTTTGTTTGTTTGTTTGTTTGGTGTTTTTTTGTAGCCAAAGCTGGTCTCTTAGAGGGTGTCTTTGAACAGCCTTATTCTTAGTTCTACCTGTAAGTGCTAGAATTAACCAATGTGAGAATTACAGGAATATAGGGTTTTTTGTTTTGTTTTGTTTTTTTTGGTTTGGTTTGGTTTGGTTTTTTGAGATAGGGATTTTTCTGTGTAGCCTTGGCTGTCCTTAACTTGCTTTGTAGACCAGGTTGGCCTCGAACTCAACAAAGATCCGCCTGCCTCTGCCTCTCTGAGTGCTGGGATTACAGTGCTGGGATTACAGGACCACCATGCCTGGCTGAATATAGGATTCTTTAAGAAGCTTCCAGGAGGTAATGAAAGAAATTCAATAGGTTATACAATAGAAATCAGTAGAAATGAGGTGATCCTTTGAAGGGCAGTCTTTTGTTTTTTGTTTGTTTTGTTCTGTTTTTTGAGACAGGGTTTTCTGTGTAGCCCTGGCTGTCTTGTTGCTTTATAGATCAGGCTGGCTTTGCCTCCCTAGTGCTGGAGGCCACCACCTCCTAAATTTATGTTTTAAAAAATATTTTTTTTCATACCCAGTGAGACTCTATTGGAGATTTTTTTCTTTGTGAGTGGTTGTCAGTTAAAGATAGCTTCTTGGTTAAGGATGGGAGTTCATGTTGTCCACTTTGGGGAGAAGTATTTTAACATTCACAATTTGCAAATGTTTGCTGTCTTAGGTGAGTATCTTTATGAATTAGCTGTAGCATATCACAGATTAAACTCTCTTGGCTGATAATCAGGTTTAGGAGTGAGAAGTGGGAAAAGAAGTAAGTAGAAGCCATCTCCAACAGAGACATTTAGAAACGGCAATGCTTAAGTCATTTGAGTTTTCTTTCTCCTGTTACTTTGTTTTTATTGTCTGTGAGTATGAAGTGTGATGTGGATGCATGCCACTGACCTTGTGGAGACCGGGGGACAACTTTCTGGAATTAGTTCTCTTCCACTATGGATTCTAGGGATAGAACTCATATCATCAAACTGTTAGTCTTGCTGAGCCAGGACACTTGCAGTACTTTCTTTGGCAGTACTTTTATGCCATAGGGATCTGTTTCTGCTGCTTATTTCTGGTAGAATGTTTCATAGACAAAATGAAATTGAGAAGAGATGGGCAACAGAATAGGATCCTCAGAAATTAGTTCTTTTTCTTGCTGCATCTGTTTTGTTTTTGTTTTTTTCCCCTAAGCTTCCTGAAAGTTCTGTGTTAGGGATTAGAATATTTTAGTTCTGTTTCTAGTGTGGCCCTGAGAACCTACCTGAAGGAAATTTCAGTGCTTTTCTTCACTACAAACATTCAGGGTGTTTTCTTTGGAGTTACTGAGTTACTTCTCTTTTTATAAAGGCAAAACAATATGAAGGGTTTTGTTGTTTTTATTTGAAACAGGATATCTTATAGTCCAGGTTTGCCTTAAACTTTTTATGTCCTTGAGGATGACCTTGAACTAATTTTGATTCTCCGAATTACTTGGGCTATAGGTCTGTGCTCCCATACCAGCTTCTATATGGTGCTGGGGAACAAACTCAGGACCTAGAAAGCTAGGCAAGCATTGCACCGACTGACCTACATCTTCAGCACAGAATATGAGTTGTTTGGTTCCTTACAAGTGAGTACAGTCCTTTGCTTAACTGTATGTAGAAAATGCTGATTTTTGAATACAATTAGAATTTGATCAATAGTCATACATACTTAATTAAGTCTACACTGCTAGTTAGGATGTTAGACATTTAAATGCTTTTTAACAATATGAAGAAGTTTGTTGGTAGAGGCTTGCTCTGTCTGTCTGTCTGTCTGTCTACTTATTTTGAGGCAAGGTCTCTACATAGCTCTTCAGCCTGGCCTTGAACTCATTGAGATCTGACTGCCTTTGCCTCCCAAGGGCTGGGATTAAAGGTATGTGCTACCATGCCTGCCTAGCAAGGCCTTATTACGTAAGTATGTTTGTTTTAAAGTTTCATTACAGTCATCTTTATAAATTAATAAGATAGGACATGTTTAAGTGTGCCCTGTGGCAGTGGCTGTAAACCAAATGTAGGCTTAAGCTAACAAGTTGCTGTTCTTCACAATGGGCTAGTTATAAGAAATCTTAGAATATGTTGTTTCTTTTTTACATTAACCTAATTGTGTATACATGTGGGCAGGCAGGTGTCACAGAATACATGTGTGGAAGTAACAGAGTAACCTGAAGGAATTTAGTTGATATTTTGTGTTGCTCCATATTGAACCAAAGTCCTCCTGCATGCATGTTTGGCTTATATTCCATCACCGAGCTGCACCCTAGGAATTAATCCTTTTAAAAATAAAATGTCAGTCAAATGAGGCAAGCATTTATCAATACAGAGTGAGTGAAGTCTTAACTACTTTGTTTCATTGATTAGGACAACTATTTCTATATAGTAAGGCAGCAAAATCCTATTTGTACTAGTTAATGTACTTTTATTTAATGACATGCTGACTTTAGTGCTAGTAAGCTTCTTACATTTAAGGATATACTGATTTTAATGTTAGTCATAAGTACTGCTAAGCATAAAACTATTACATTACTTAATACATACATGTATCCTACATTATTAACATTAGGAAATACAATAGAAATCACCAGAGATCTCTCTCTCTCACTTGCTAGGAATGACTACAAGTATGTGCCATAATTGTAGCTATACAGGAGACTGAGGTATTAGATCCCTTGAGCCCAGGAGTTTGAAGCCAGCTTGGGTAACATAGTAAGACCCTGTCTCAAAGAAACAGAAAAGGACAACAGCGACAACAAAAAAGATGTTTAAAATCATTGGGAGATGTATACATTACTGGTGGGAATGTAAAATTGTGAAGCTACTTTTGTAAAGAATCTGGTATTTTCTCAAAAAGTTAAATATTCTGTGCTAGAGAGGTGGTACAGTGGTTAAGAACAGTGGCTACTGTTCCAGAAGACTTGGGTTCATTTCCAGTACCCACATTGCAGCTTACTACTATCAATAACTCCAGTTTAGGATATCTGACACCCTCTTCTGGCCTTCAAGGGCACCAAACCACATATGGGGAACACATACATATAGGCAAAACACTCATACACATGAAATAAGAATAAATCATTTTGTTGGTATTGTTTTGTTTTTATTTTTCAAGATAGGGTTTCTCTGTGTAATACTGGCTGTCCTGGAACTTGCTCTTAGACCTCAAAACTGGCCTCAAAACTCAGAGATCTACCTACCTCTGCTTCCCAAGGGCTGGGATTAAAGGTTATGTGCCATCACCACCTGGCTAAGACTAAATCTTCTTTTGTTTGTTTTTGTTTTCAGACAGGGTTTCTCTTTGTAGCCCTGGCTGTCCTGGAACTCGCTCTGTAGACCAGGCTGGCCTAGAACTAACAGAGATCTCCCAAGTGCAGGGATCAAAGGTGTGCACCATCACAGTCTGGCTATAAATCTTTTAGAAAGTAAAACACATGGAAAATTATTATCTAGAAATTGTGCTTTTGAAATGAATACATTCACACAAATATGTTTATAGCAGCATTACTCAAAAATGGCCCAAAATGTAGAAAAGCCCAAATGCCTATAGACTGATAAATGAATGGTTAAGCAAAATTTGGAATATCTAAACAGTGGAATATTATTTGACCATAATAAAAAGAAATAAATAAAAAAAGAAAGTTCTGTACATAGGATTTAATGAAGTTAACCCTGGGTCAGTAGGCAGAGCAAGAAACCCTCTGACAGGAATTAAAGAGCAGGAGGGATTTTGAGTTGAGGGGTATTTAAGACAGCATGGAGAAAAGGGAGTATTAGCTCAAGCTCTGTCTTTAGCTTCGGCTTCAGCTCCTCAGCTCACTGGCTTTTCAGGCTTTGCGCTAGCAAGCTTTTGGCCTTGGGGTTTTTTGGGGGCTTTGCTCCTGGGCTGTCAGCTCAACTAGTGAGACTTTGGGGTTTTTTTTCCATCCAAACCTCAGCTGAGGAGGAAGATCAGCTGGTTACTTTCTCTGCCTCTCTCATCTTGCAGGTTTCACCCCCACCCCCAACAAAGAAAGAAGGAACTCAATATAATATGGACTTGAGAAAAACATGTTAATCACAAAAGACTGCATATTATACAATCTCATTTCTAATACTATACAGAAAGTAGGTACGTCTACAGACATGTAGATTAGTGTTTCCAAAAGGGTGTGAGTGAGAAATAGTGGCATGATAGTTCCAAAAAGTATATAGGAATCTTTTAAGGGTGATAAAAAGATTTAAGTTATAATAATGGCTATAAAAACTTGGACTACACCAAAGCCATCGTTCACTTTAAATAGGTGAATTTTGTAGAGTGTATGAATGGTATCAGTGCACATATACATGTATAACATAAATAGGGAAAGTTGAAATAGTGTGATCAAAAACAATAGGATTTATATACTTCAGGGTTTTTAGACGGCAGGCTCCGATAATAAAGTATTGATTATGGAATATAAAATACATTGCCTCTGGAAATGTAGACGACTGTAGCTCTATGTGCAACAGGCAGTTCCTCAACAGGTTAAATATCATTTTCACACAATCCACCTATTCCCCTATGGTTACACATGAAAGCAGGGGTTTAAAACAGATCCTTGTTTACTAGCAACATTTTGATAATGGTGAAAATGTTGGATGGAAAATGATGGAAAGTGGGAATGTAGCTCCGTGGTAGAGTGCCTGCCAAGCATACACAAGCCCCTAGTTCATTCATCTCACAGAAGACTTGGCAAGGCAGCAAAACCTATAATCTCTTAGCAGACTAGAAAATTATGAATTTGATGCCAACCTGAACTACATAGACTAGATCAAAATTTAAAAAATTGGAAAAATGGAAACAACTAATGTCGATGAATACATGTATGGCTAAACAAATATATATGAGAATAGTGGAGTGTTATTCATCCTAAAATGAAGTGAAATTTTGATACTTCCCACATTGAGTATTAACTTTGAAAACATAGAAAGTAAGCCAGTCATGGCTTATGCCTGTAAACCCAGCACTTAGGAGGTGGAGGCTGGAAGAGGATCAGAAGCTCAAGGTCAGCCTTGGCTTCACAGTGAGTTGGGCCAGTCTGGCTACATGAGATCCTATCTCAGAAAACAAAAAATATAACAGTGAGAAGCCAAACAAAAGGAGACAAAGTATGGCTAAAAGTTATACCTGTATATTATTGTGAGTTACTCAATGCCTTGAATTGTATACTTAAAAACAGCTAAGATAGTATGAATTTAATATATATTTTACCATGAAAGTTCATAATGTTTAAACTTTAGGTGAGACATACTGATCCTCTCTTTTTCTTTCTTTTTGTGAGGGACTAGGTTTCAGGTAGCTCAGGCTGATCTCAAATTTAAACTTGTAGTCCACTTGCTTCCTAATTTCTGGGATTTTAGGCATGAGCCTTGGCTACTGTGCTGCGTACTTAATAATCAGGACTAAAATTTGAGAAGCCAGTTAGATGACTTCATGAAAAATTATGAGTAAGTATGTTAGTCTCATTTAGATGGGATAAAATAATATTTTTCACTATTGCATGGCTGATTCATTTTGTTGATTTATAGAAAGCAAATGTTTATATTTAATAATATCAGGAGGATTGCAGTTATCCAGTAAATATCACCAAATTGTGGCAGTGAGCCAGAAAGAAGAAAATCTACGTTAGTGAAATGAGACACAGTTTTGTAGCTATGGAAACTTTAAGCTCTACCGAGTTTCAATAAGGTGTTTTTGTGCTTGTATTAGTACCACTAATTAGATATTGATGGGGTTAATGAGGACCTTGGATAATTGTTAAATTGAAATATAATTATATTCCTTGAAGGTTTTGGTTAAAGGGCACAGTTGGGTTTTTAATGTTAGTTTTATATGAACATTAAAATATTTTTGTTTAATTTATTAGATAATTTAATCTGAGGGTTTATATGATTTTCTGGGTTTTTTCAGAGATAGGGTTTCACTTCTTAGCTCAGGCTGGCCTCTTAACTCATGGTCCTCCTGCTTTAGCCTTTTGAGTGCTAAGATTACAAGCTTGTGCTATCATGTCTGGCATATGTGAAAATTTTTTTTCACATTGTGCTAATACCCATAAATATTTTTTTTAAGTGAATGTACTTTACTTTGAGCATTTCTGGGAAAAGTTGAATCTATTCAGAGAAAATTAAAAAATTTTGGATAAATTATTCTTTTGAGTTAAGATTTTTTTTTTTTTTTACAAAAAAAATCTTTTAAAGCTTATTTTTCAGGCTATAACAAAATTAAACATTTTTTGATGATTCCTTTTATTTTTTTTATGTGCATTGGTATTTGCTTGCATGTATGTCTATGTGAGGGTGTTGGATCGCCTGAAACTGAAGTTACAGACAGTTGTGAGCTGCCATGTGGGTGTTGGGAAATGAATCAGGGTCTTCTGGAAATGTAGCCAGTGCTCCTAAACCCTGAGCCATCTGTCCAGCCCTCAAATTTAAGTTTTAAATGCTGTATGTGTGTGCTTGGAATTGAGCCTAGAACCTTAGATGTGCTAGGCAAATGCTCTACCACTTAGCTATATTCTTGGCCCTGAGAAGATTTTTTTTGGGGGGGGGGGGTGGGGGGGGGGGGGGGGGGCGG